ACATGTAAGTGTACAGATGGAATTTTGACTGGCTAATTAGAGTTGGCGTCAGTCACAATGAAATGCTCAATGGCGTGATCTGAAGCAACTAAAAATATACATAAAGTGAAACAGTTTTTAAAAAGAAATAATCCAGAGGGCTTCCTAATCACTGTGAAGATCTGATCAATCATTTGATTGGAGTTATTGGCAATAATGTTAGCAAATTCTGCTAGTTAGTAACTACCCTGCTCAAAAAAATTAAAGGAACACTTTGAAAACACATCAGATCTCAGTGGGGAAAAATATCACGGTAGATATCTATACTGATATGGACTGGGTAAAGTGTTAGGAACATAAGGACGCCCCATCGTTTGGTGGAAATGAAAATTATCAACCTACAGAGGATTGAATTTAAACAACCTGAAAATTAAAGTGAAAAATGATGCAGCAGGCTAGTCTATTTTGCTGAAATTTCATTGCAGCAACTCAAAATGGTACTCAGTAGTTTGTATGGCCCTCGCATGTTTGTATGCATGCCTGGCAACATCGGGGCATGCTCATAATGAGACGACAGATGGTGTCCTGCGGTATTTCCTTCCAGATCTGATCCAGGGCATCACTGAGCTCCTGGACAGTCTGAGGTGCAACCTGGCAGTGTCAGATGGACCAAGTATGAAATCGCAGAGGTGTTCTATTGAATTTAAGTCAGGCGAGCATGGGGCCATTCAACGGTATCAATTTCTTTATCCTCCAAGAACTACCTGCATACTCTCGCCACATGCGGTCAGGCATTGTTGTGCACCATGAGGAACCCAGGACCCACTGCACCAGCATACAGTAATGGTTCCAAGGATTTCATCCCGATACCTAATGGCAGTCAGGGTGTCATTGTCTAGCCTATAGAGGTCTGTGCATCCCTGCATGGATATACCTCCGCAGACCATCACTGACCCATCACAAAAACGGTCATGCTGAATTATGTTACAGGCAGCATAACATTCTCCATGGCTTCTCTAGACCCTTTCACGTCTGTCACGTGTGCTCAGGGTCAACTTGTTTTTATCTGTGACAAGCACAGGGCGCCAGTGGTGGACCTGCCAATTCTGGTGTTCAATGGCAAATGCCAATCCAGCTCTATGGTGTTGGGCAGTGAGCACAGGGCCCACTAGAGGATGTTGGATTGTCAAGCTACCCTCATGAAGTCTGTTTCTGATTGTTTGGTCAGACATATTCACACCAGTGGCCTGCCAGAGTTCATTTTGTTTGGGGTCTGGCAGTGCTTATCCTGTTTCTCCTTGCACGAAGGAGAAGATACCAGTCCTGCTGATGGGTTAAGGAACTTCTACAGCCCTGTCCAGCTCTTCTAGAGTAACTTCCTGTCTCCTGGAATTTCCTCCATGCTGGAGGAGACTGTGCTGGGAGACACAGCAAACCTTCTGGCAATGGCAGATATTGATGTGCTGGGAGACAGAGCAATGGTATGTAGGAGACTGTGCTGGGAGACACAGCAAACCTTCTGGCAATGGCACGTATTGATGTGACATCCTGGAGGAGTTGGACTGCCTGTTTGTAGGATCCAGGTATCACCTCATGTTACCAGTAGTGACACTGACCCTAGCCAAACACAAAACTAGTGAAAAATGGTCAGAAAAGATGAGTAGGGAAAAAAAATGTCAGTGGCCTCCACCTCTAAAACCATTTGTTTTGGGGGTCATCTCATTGTTGTCCATCTAGTGCACCGGTTGTTCATTTCAATAACACCAAAGCAGCTGAAACTGATTAACAACCCCCCCCCTGCTACTTAACTGACCACATCAATATCTCAGGAGTTTAACTGACTTGATGATATACTCTGATTAAAAAGTGTTCCTTTAATTTTTGTGAGCAGTGTATAATGATTCATACAGTACATTTTCAATTATTTGCACACCATTAACCTCAGTTATTATTGAACAGCCACTACAAACATGTGGGTTATTGTTAGTGTTCCCAAAATCGCTATTCCCTGGTATATATATATATAGTGGATGAGGTTTGAACCGCATCCAATCCGCATGACATGTGAGAAACATTGCTTCCTATGGTGCCCTGTTCACATATCTCCGGTGCACTGGTGGTGCGGATTCAGTGCGGTTTGAAAAAGAGTTGTGTACGATTTCTGAGCAGTACCTTTAGGTTCAGATGCAAATTACAGGCTATTGACTTCTATGGGAACCATTTCTAAACTGCATATGTGTGACCAGGATAAGATCCTGAGCTAATCCCGTCCTGAACGTGATGTAAACCTGACATGAACTTCTGAACAACTACTGTATCAATTAGCTGTGACACCTGAGCCCTCAATCAGAACCGCACATGTGTGAATCAGCTCTAACTGTAAGTTCTTCACTCCCACCTTGGTCTATGTAGCCAGAAATGTAATTACACTGCACTTACTGTATGATAACTGGCATCTTCTGCACTACTTTAGATGTAAGAAGACATCACAATTTTGCTGATATAATGAACAAGCCTGTTATGTCTATTTTAGGAGGCCAACACAGGGGATGCCAGAGATGTGGTTTTTCTAAGAAACATAACTTGGCAAATATGTTTACAGTACAAGTTATAACATTCACTTG